GGCCAATTATGTTAATTAGGGCTTTATTCTGAAGTGGATAGAAAGGAAAGGAAGAAAAATCATATCTATATCTACATTTCAGTGCAAACTGCTATGTTAACTGGGATATAATTCTGCTGCTGGGGAAAACGGGACAGAAAACACTGAGTATTTCTAAACTTGTCATCACTAAATATATTTGCTCCTGTCTTAATATTGACATAAACCAGAAGTGAATATATACTTTAAATGCAAGTGTTGCTAAATGTTGCACATCCTTCAAGGGCTGAATAGAAGTCCTGGTATAAAGCTCATTAAAATAAACAGTAACTTTTCTTCTGTCTCCAGCAGAGTCTGAATACAAAAGAAAGGTATGATAGTTAAAATATTGGTACTGACATTCAGTTATAATTATAAATCCTCTTTTCCCAAGTCAAATCTCTGTACTTTCACATTCATGGTAAAGCAGAGTCAGAAGTACACACTTCCCATGTACTTGGATAGGACTACCACTGTGGTCCCAATGCTGCCTTTGCTCAGGCTATTCTGTTTTGTTCAATTCATTAATCTGGTAACATCTGGTAACACAGTGAAGAAAGACACTCTCAAGAAGACTGCAGAATTATAAATGGGGGAAACTAAGTGTTACCTTAGAACGTTATATTGCCATGTTGTCTAAATTGTGAATGGATCAGTCATCACCATCAGGTAACCCCCACTGCACCCAGTCCTTTTATGGAAGACTTTGAAGCCAGGTCTCAAGAGCTGATGAGTCATGACTCAGAAGGTAGTAACCTTCGTTTTGCATCATGTGCTGCTAAAAGTGCTGTCCTGGAAAAGCAGGGAAGCAAAATTTGTTAAGATTTGAAATTGTTAAAATGTGTGACTTTTTTTTTTTTGGGGGGGGGGGGGTGGGGGGGCATGGTGGTGTGGTGTTTTTCTTTTTTCTTCTTTTTTTCTTTTTTTTTTTTGTGGGAGAGGATTTTTCACCCATATTCTGGACAGATTCTGCTCCAGGTAATTACATTACCTCTCTAGCTCCAATTGGATGCATTAGTCTTCATTTACTCTTTTAAAACACGTTGCTGTGACAATCTTGTTCCTTATCTGATCAGCTGGTTGTCCACTGCAATTTGAAAGATAGCTTCAACACAGGCTAAAATAAAGTAGGCTTCCCCTTTTACCAAATTAATCCTTATTTTTAAGAGTTTAAATTCCAGGGCTCAGGGCATTTTTTTTGGATCTCTTTACAACTCAATGTACTGTGCTTTCACAACAGCCACGTTGTGAAACAGCTATTCCTTGCTTTATCTGAAGTAACTGCAGTGATATAAAAGTAGTCTCCCAAAGACAGGAAAAAAAATAGATTAAAAAGTTAGACCCCTATAAATAAATGCTAACATTTGCAATTTAAATTGCAGGAGTGTCCATTGCCTGTTCTTCCCTAGCTTAGTAACAAAGGCAAATTTTGCTCCTCAAAGCAGTAATCACAGGGTAGGGAGGGAGACAAATCTCAAGGGAGGGCTATATTATATGAACAAATAGTAGGATTTGGGCCAACAGCCCAGTAAGAGATATTGGCAGATAAACTGGAAGAGTCATGGAACATTCCTGAGAGATAGGAAAAAGCATTAATTCACAATAGTTTGGAGGAGGAAGAGGAGCAGTGACTGAGGGTTTTCCTGAACAATGAGGTAAACATATGGAAAGTGAAAAACTTCAGGGGGACGAAATCTTGGAGTTAAGTTTCAGTCAAGCTTGTGATTAAGCTGCTGTTTAAACAACTTTGATTAGTAAATGGCAATACATCAAGAAGATGCAGTGAAGAGAGTTTAAGATGCAGAACTGCATAATGAAAGCTATGTCAGAAGTGAAGATGATGAGCTAGTAGAACTGATAATTATCAGTGTAAAAATCTCAGGCTGAAGCTGCTTCAACAGATATGAAGACACAGAGAAGTTGCATTGAGCATGCAGGGGAAGACATGTCTCTGAAATACCTGAAGGAGCTATGCAGGTAGGCAGGTAGTCCCACTTTACATGACCAAATGAAAGTCATGTTGGAGGATAAAGAATGATAAAAATATCTCATGCATCTATATCTCAAAAATAACAGACATTTTTTCTTCACTGTTAGAGATGTCTCCTTACCGCATTCATGATCTAAAGCATATTCTGATCTAGTAAATACTCTCCTGATGGAACAACTGAGTCTCTGAGCTAAGAATCGACCCTTACAGTCCATTCACCAGAAAAGACAAGAACTTTGCTTCCTCTCTGAAAGCAAAGCATCCTCCAGATTAAACAAATGACATTTCTTTTCCCTTTAGGACAAATTTCTAGAGAAGTTCATAGCTAGCTGGCATACCGCCAGCACAACATTCCCTGGCACCACATGCCCATTAAATTTTGGAGTTTGCTGGCATGAGCCAGCTCTGCATTCTGTCCCCAGAGATGGCTGTATTTCAGCACTAAAGAAACTGCAATACACATAGAGCCACATTCTTTGCTCCAACACCCATGCAGCCCCAGTGAAAACAATGCTGGCAAAGTTAGAAAAATTATATGGAGGTGACCAAAGGCCATTCTGTCAAGCTTTTACTAAAGCATCATTTAAAAAAATACTCCTTTGTTTTCCCTGAATAATCTAGCAATTCCTCCTTGCCCCCCACTAATTCCACATAACTTTTGAACAAGATCTGTTAGTATTTTTCTCCTCTTCTTCCATCAGAGGGGATCTTCTGTGTTCCCTTTTAGCTGTTCCTCATAACCACCACGACATTATCAGACAGCCTACTGTGTTAGTGATGAGCGGGCTGAATTACTTTCAGCTAAACACCGGTCATTGAAATAAGAAAGTTCTGAAATACAGGCAGGCAACTGGTAAAATGGGAGACAGAAGTTACAGCTCAAAGGACAAGAGGTACAGTGCTGTGGAAAGATCTGTTTGTCATTAAGGTTTATGGACATAAGCAGGTCTCTTGCATTTTTTTCATTTGGAGTAGGCAGCTGGGTATTTGACCTCCTTTTAAAAACTTCAGATCGATGCTGGGCACAGCATGTCCACTAAGGAATGCTGATGTGTCTGTGTTGTTCCCATTCAACACAACAGCACTTTGGACCTGTCTCCCCTGTTTCTTTGGTAGTCCCAGTTCTCTGAGGACTTGCTCTGTCATAGGGGCACCTCTGCACTGGTACGGTTGCCTGAGTGACCATTGGGAAGTGGCTCAGGCACATATGAAATGCTTAGCAAGCTGAGCAGAACAAACCCTGTGGAGCACACAGTAAGTGTGCTTAACAAGCATATGAATTTCTATTTGCCAGTCACACTGATATGAGTAAAACTGGGTTAAGAATTGTGCTGAGGATTAACCAGATAATTCATAGGAAAACCCAAACTTAAGGGCCCAATTTACATTCAAAGTATGTGGCTGAGAGACTTCTGAAAAGGGAACACAGAATGCTCAGAATGGATCCTAATTGCCTATTTCTTCGTAGAGTGATAGATCTCCAAGCATGTCTACACTAAGTAAACCATGTGTATATTCACTTACACACACTTCTTTTCAAATACTGAGTTTCAGATTCCCCTATATGAAACTCAAAACACCAAGATCTGCTCACGACAGATTCACTCCCAAAGGTCCCTTCCTGTTTTCTTGTTATATAGCAAAGAGCAATATTTGCCCTGCTGCCCATAAAACAAAGGGCAATTAAAGGCACACTGCAAAATATTATTACAGTAATGACACACATCTGTTCCCAGAACAGCGCTTGTTATTTGTGATTAATCTAGTCCACTGAAGAAAGCTGTGAAGGCAGAGGATGTATTTCTGGGTGCTGAGAATAATTTCTACTGACAGAAAAGACTGAAGAAGCAAACATTTTTCTACCTGGTGAGTAAACACGTTATACAGCTAATAATTGCATTAGATGTCCTTACGATTTTTACTTGAGAAGCTGTATCTTATCTATTTTGACATCTCTCATTAATGATTTTTGCCCCACAAAGGACAACTCACTGAGAAAGGACTTGTTTCTATGCACTTGATTTCTCATAACCAGAGCTCTTTTGCATTATCCATCATTTACAAGGAAGGATTCATTATCAAAGTGCTGCACAAGGGTTTAAGCTGTAAAACGCCAAGAGACTTGTCTGGACTTTGGAGGAGATTTTATGACGTCTGGGACTTGGGAGCAACACTCTAAAAGAAAAACATTTTTTAAATGCATCACTTTCTGGATGCCTTGGATCCAGATGAAGCTCCTCTTACCAAGCACAGTTCACTGTACTGGTCATTCTTTTGGCTCTGTTTGCTCTGAGCTCTAACATCTCTCACACATTCATTTGAAGCTGTACGGTCTCCAAACATTTATAGCAAGGCACTCTCCATCATGCAACTTGGGGAAATGTAATCTCTCTATCCCTTTTCTATCTCTGTCCTACAAACACAGAAAGCCTGTGCTTCCTCCACACCCACTCTCCTTGCCAGAAGCCTCACTGCAACTTCCTGTCAGTTTTACACACTCTGCTGTGGACTTCCTCTGAGCACAAGTTTTATCTGAATGTACCACATTAACTATTTGCTTACTGAATGCTTCCTAGGAACATAAATACTCATTTATTTTCAACCTGTAGCCGTTAAACCCATCGTAACTGGAAACCAGTGACTGGAAAGAAAAAAAAAAAGTAACTTACATTATTCAGGACTGAAATAAGAGAAAGACTACAAAAATACTGTAATTATTTGCAGGCAATGGGCATCTCCTGCAAGGCTAATGATAGGCTGTTCACATCCAGGGGCGTATAATCTGCGTAAAAACAGTAGTATGCTGCATTTCCGTAACATCCTTCACCAATGGATCTTGAAAACCTTTCAGAAATGTTCGAACTACTGCTCTAGCATTTATGTTTCCCGCTCTTCATGTTCTACATTAACTTAAAGCAACCATAACATGCTTTTGACCCCTTGGCTCCTACTTGGGGCTTACAAAAACTCAGGGACGGATGGACCACGTTACCCTGAGAACTTGGGGCGAGAGCAACGACGTTACTCCCACAACTTGGGGACAGAGGGAGTTGTGTTACCCTCATGGGTGTGCCGCGACGAAGCACGAGATGTCTTTGGGAACATACGACGGGGCTGGACATGGGTAAAGACCAGAGACCTAGTACAGCAATGCAACCCTCGGGTCTGCACTCCAGCACCTGAAACAGTGCATTTTGCTCGTGTGCCATCCCCGCGTAAAACCTTCCGCGCCCAAAGCAGGAACGTGTGGACGACGGCCCACAGGCAGCTTTCCTTCTCCTCCCTTCCCTCCCTCGCTGCTGGTACCAGGACAGGCGGCGGCAGCAAGCCGCGGGCAGGGGCCGCAAAGCCCCTCAAGCGGGCAAGCAAGCACGGCCCGCCTTCCCATTCCCCCCCCCACCCGCTGCGCTCCAGGGCTGCGTGCCGAGAGTACGCGGGGCTCCCCTGCCCCGCAGGCCGAGACCGCCCCGACACGGGACTGGGCGCGAGAGCAGCCGGAGAACGTGGGGGGGTTGAGGAGAGGTGGGGGAGGGGCGGCAGCGCGGCCGCGCCTCGCGCCTGCGCAGGGGGGAGCGGAGCCGCGAGGTCACCCCTCCCCTCCGCGCCGCCCCCGCCCCCGCCGCGCCAGAGCGAGGCTGGGCGTACGGCGTCACGGCGACGGCCACAAGCCGCGCCCCGGCACAGGCAGCGAGAGGGAGAGCGGTGGGCTCGGCCGGCGAGGCGGCGGTCGGCGGGGAGCGGAGGCGCTGTCCGGTAGGTCGGGGCGGGCAGCGCGGGCCTGGCCGCTGCGGCGGTGGGATGGAGAGCGGCGCGGTGTGTCTGGTACAGGTGGCGGGGCGGGGACGGGCCGGTGGGGGGGCGGTGGCGCGGCGGGTTGGGGGGGCGGTGGGGAGAGAGAAGTGACGGCGGCGGGGAGCGGCGCGCTGTGAGGGAAGGGGCACGAGCCTGGAACATGGCGGAGGAGGAGCTGGGAGCCGCCGCCTCGTCCGGCCTCGGGCGTGGGGGGACACCGCGGGGCGAGGGGGGTGGGGGGCAGAGCGGGGCGCTGAGGGGCAGCCGCTGCCAGCCGGGCCCAGGGCCCGGCCCTGCCCTTCCCCGCCACCTCCCCCCCCCCTCCTGCCGGTCCCCGGAGCAGAAGTTGGAGCGGAAGCGGAAAGTTGTAACCCCGTGGCTCGGGGCCGCGACGTGGGGCCCGGCCGGGTGCGGGGAGGGGCGGGTGACGCCCGGCTCGGCCCCGCTGCGGGCGGGGAGAAGGACGGTCCCCGGCTGCTGCCGTCGTTGTCAGCGGGAAGTCCGAGCAGGAGCCCCACCTAGTCCGGTCGCCGGAGAGAAGCTGCTCTTTCCGGCCGGTGTGTGGGGGCGAGGCGGGGGGGCGGGGGACAGGCCGGGTGCGGCCAGCCGGGCAGCCCGCCGACCGTCGGTCCCTCTGCCTGTGGTGGCCGCGGAGCGGGACAAGCGGGCGGAGTTGCGGCCAGCGAGTTCCCCTCCTGCTTATCACAAAATGAAAAGGGGATGATGGGGTGTTCATCATTTAAACACTTCGCCACCACTCGTGTCAAAGCAAATGGAAGAATTTGACTGACACTTCCTGCACCAAACCCGTCTAATAAGCCCGAGATCTTCGTGCTCTTCTGCATGTGTTAGTGAAGAAGCAGTGGAAGGAAAGCGAAGTTTGTAGAGGGGAAAATAAAACCAAATCTGAGTGCTTTCACTCTGGCTTCAGATTACAAAAATAGGATAATAGACTTAGGTTTCCTGGAAAAAAGAAATGAAGAAAGATCAATGTGTTTTTACTCTCATTTCCATTTTAAAGGGATGGGTTGTACTGTTCAGGGTAAATAAACAAAAAAAGTATTTTTCTCTACTTTTGTGGGTTATGAGAGCAGGGTAGTACAGTTCCCAGAGAGGTGGTATTTCAGAGATGCCCAGCTTGAAAATCGCACAAGTTGTATGTATGTTCTTGCATTCAGATGTTTTGATTAATGTAATTTTTTATTTCCAGCGTGTAACAGCTGCACCTTACCCCAGTGTGAAATGTGTAGACAGTGTATGACTTTTCAAAGTACGTTTTACCATGAAAGAGTACTTTTAGTAGTAATTCTTTGGAATTACTGTTATAAAATAGAAGTCATGAAACTCTTCCTTTTCGTAAATCGTAATTAAAAGGCAAAGAAGCAATCACAGTGTCTTATATAGTAACCATTCAAAACCAAATGTATTTACCTTTAGGAAAAGTCTCTTTTCTCCTCTATAACTTGGAAAAAGTTAGCAAATTATCATCTTTTAGATGATTTGCTTCTGTCTTAAAATCACAAGCTTGGGGAGGGGGAACTAACCATCTTGCTACAATCAAGTGTTTTCACTTTCTTTATTCATTGCAATTTCTTTTTTTTTTTACTCTAGCTCAAAGTCTATCCTGTAGATTTCATTCCAGCTAAAAATGAGCTGAGTGAATAGTGGAAGTTACCTTGGCTGTTCACATCAAAGGCTTTGCAAATAAAGTAAGCTTTCTGATTAAGCAGATGCAGCATTTTATTCCTTGGTACCTTTATATTTTAAGGGATGCTTCTTGTAGTGTTATGAGCTACTTGAAGTTCAAATTACAACTGTCATGTAAAGCATGTCTGTAGCTAAATAACTAAGTTTTGAGCTGCACTGTACAGTATGAATCCTGTGTATCTTTTTTGCAGCAAAGCTGATCATACTTGGAGCACCTGTCTGCCTGGGGGTGAAATAATCTGCAAAACAGAGTTGAAAGACTATAAGTGTAAAAACAGAACTTCTGTATGGGGGTTTTGCTGTCTGTAACTGTATGTCTTCTACTACATACATACACTAGTTAAGTTTTCTGAGTGGTATTAAAATTGTGCTGTTTTGTTCCAAAGCTCTGCTCTAGGACAGCTTATAAAAAATAAATCTGAAGTAAGCCATGACAGTTCTCTTTGCGGTGTGCCAGTTTTGCAGAGTAAAACTGACTGTCTCTTTAATTGAGAGCCTTTCTGGAGCAGAGGCAAACAGATGGAAATCTAGGTAAGAGCCTACAAGAGGAGAAAGAAATTCCTTGTATGGCTGAGGAAGTGTGCTGAAGACTACACTGTACCTGGTGATCTGAAAGTTAGCAAATATGGCTGGGCACTAAAATAAAGAGTTGTCCGCCTATCATCTGGGGTGTGGGAGATGCAAAAGTACTTGAGTATTTGATGCATACTGCTATAGTGCCAGTCCTGTCATCTGCAGAGCCCCGCTAGCTGCTCAGAGCTAAGTGCGGAGAAGTGTTCTTAAGGGTAAGAGTATCTTAACGATAAAACCAGGCACTTTGTTGTCCTTGGGTGTATGATAAGAGGGTAGGCAGGTCCTTTATGAGTTGGCCCATCTAAGTAACACTTGGATGGCTTTAGATACCTGACTTTTGAGGGTGTTTACAAGCTCAAGTTGTGAGTTTTAATCAAAATTGCTCTCTTGGTATGCTTAGTGATGTGTTTATTCTGTGCAGCAGAAGTTTGTGTTTAGCTTGTGATTGCAAGCACTGCCACTCTTGCCTCGGAACAAATACAAAAAGCAGACCAAAGTACACTGTGTAATGTCAGTCCGCTGAATCCCTGCTGAGTTGGGGCAGGCTTCTGCTGTGTTCTGTTGCATCTAGGTCAGGTAGAGGGATATTTTAACCTCCTTATTCCCAGAGATAAAAGGAGTATCTACAGTAAGTACACTTTCATATTCAAAGGCAAACTTTGTTTTCCTTCTCAGATATGCTTAAGATGGTGTGTTTCTATCGTCTAACATAAAGCAGGAAAAAAGGATGGGGTTTTATTATTTGAATGCTGTTAATAGGGAACCTGTTTTGAAGCTGATCGAGTTTCCAAAGTTGTTCAGCAGTTGACTGCAGTAGAGCATTTAGTACAGCATCTAATGCATCACTTTCTCCTTAGGACCTGTCAACCATGAGGAAACAGAGTGGGACAGGCGTAGTAGAAGCAATATTCTGATGAAGCTATGGCAGTTTGCTTGTAGTAGGCAAGCGCTGTTCAGAGAAAGTCAAAGATGTTGTTGTCTGGCACAAACTCTTTCTTTATGCGGCAGTTAAATGAGGCTACCTTCAAAAGGAGCAGTAGGTTCTGGCTTGAAGCTCTCATCTCTCAAGCTTTAGAATGCCAAAACACTGAAACACTGGACAACTTAAAGTGAAAAGGTTTTTTATTATTGTTGTTATTTTGTGTGCCTGAGCTCCTGACATACTACGTGTTTCCTGTATCAGCAAAGAAAGTGAGGAAGGCTGTAAACACCAGGTTGGAAATCTGCCTGTTAAGCAACTTTTGAAATAGAAAATGATTTGGGGGCCCTCTAGCTATTCAGGATGCTCTTGGGGAAAAAAAAAAGGCAGTATTTCAATAGCAATTTTTACTACTGAAGCAGTAGGGTGAAAGTTACTATTAGACCCTACAGGAATGTGTGTAGCAGATGTAAAAGCAGCTTTTTAGAGTTGAACCAGGAAGAAGAGGAACTATTCAATAATATCTTGTACACTGTCCCACTCAGCTTTCTGATTATTGATCTAAGGACCTTACGGTATTTGAAGTAAATCCCTGCTATGCAACTATGGAAAGAGACTGCCAGTTACAGTACACATGGTTAGTTCATTCCTGGCCAAGGGAGGAAGGCCACATGATAGTGCGGGAGTGGGACAGCCTGGCCCTTTTAATGGACTAGTGTTTGCATCCTGTGCCAGAGAAGCAGCATCTCATGTTTCTCTCCAGCCTGAGATTCTCTTCAGGAAACCCCTGGTTTCTTAGATCACTTTGTATCATTCCTGCAGATGTTGCAATACAGGCAGGTGTCCTAAATCTGAATGACTTGACCAGGTCCTCTGTAAAAAAAAGATATTGTCTACCCCTGTTACTCATTCATGAAATAATTTTCAATACTCTAATTATAGAGCTGTGAGAAGCTTTATATTGTTAAATTTCTGGACTGTATTGAAAAACTGGAACAAGAGAACAGTCTTATAACTGAAGCATCTGTAGTTAATTTTTGTCTTTAGAAACTGAGAATGTGATCTTTGCATCAAAATTTGTTGATATTGAGGTGAATGTTGCTCTTGCTTTATTTATAA